GCCAATTGCCCCAGATAGTATGGTTTGGAGAACCCTACTTAGTGCTTGTACAGTTAACAAGAATGTCGAAATTGGAGAACTTGCAGCTAAGCATCTTCTGGATTTGGAGCCAGATGACTCAGCTAGTTATGTTCTCCTATCAAACATATATGCAGTGGCTAGGAAATGGGATTACAGGGATCAGGTGAGGCAGATGATGAAAGATAGAGGGGTTAAGAAGGAGCCTGGTCGTAGTTGGATCGAAGTAAAGAATGTAGTTCATCCATTTTTTGTTGGAGATAGGTTGCATGCACAGGCAGATGCAATCTACAAGTTCTTGGAAGAGTTGAACAACAGGGCAGTTGAAATTGGGTACAAGCAAGATAAGTATTATCTCTTGCACGATATGGAGCAAGAACAGAAGGACCCCAGTGCCTACATCCACAGTGAGAAGCTCGCTGTTGCTTTTGGACTAATAAGTTTATCTCCTGAGATACCCCTCCGTGTGATGAAGAACCTTCGTGTATGTCATGACTGCCATACCTGGATGAAATTTGTCTCGAGGATTGCTGGCCGAACAATTGTACTACGTGATCCTTATAGGTTTCATCATTTTGAAGGGGGCAGTTGCTCATGTGGTGACTATTGGTGAAGTGTCAAGGACTAATTGAACAGGACGTGCACCAGTGTACTAGTGCCCATATGATATATGCTTATAGTAGTACAAATGTGGCTCCATTTATTTAGAAATTAGAAAAAGCTGTATCATTTGGCATGTACAATATGCCATTAAGTTTTGATACACTTTAATCACTTCCATTGGAAATTCCTAAGAGAATATTTATAGTATTTTGCTCTTGACTCAGTCTTATAGATTTTACAGACCAAGAGTTAAGACTCACAGAAGTTAGATAAATGGTTAATAATTCCATGAGAGCCTCTTGCTCCCAACTCTCTTCAGCAAAGTCTAATTCTGGATTGGTTGTGATGATATGCTGAATTGGCCTGATAAAGACCTCATAGACCATCAGGAGGGGATTAAGCAGCAGAAAGGCTTGCATATAATCTTTCATAATTTGAGAAAGTCAAGATAGTAAATCTGTTTTGATCACTAAGCTGCTGACTGCTGAGCGATGTGAAATTACTTTCTTCTACACAATGGAAATTACAAAGTACATTACATATTGAACCTTGGGTGATGTGAGACTACCAATATGGAGAAAGAAACACATTTTCTGGCAGGGGATGTTCATGTAAAACTCTTTATATGGTTCATTACAATTGCCTAGGTTAGATATGCTATGATACTTTATCTTGCGCTTCATTCAGGCAATTGAGAAGTACATTTCAATAGGTTCAACAGCAGATCTCCTGCAATGTAATTCGAAGTTCATCTTGTATGTTCTACTAGAAGTAGAGCAGGTATCCCACTTAGACACTAGTGTTTCTTATCTTATAGGAAAAGAAGATGATTTCAGTTATTGTAAAACAAATGATACAAAATTTTATATTTTATATTTTCATTGGGCTGCCTGGCTGAAGGAAGCCATGGAAATGTGAGTGATGACTAAGAACCACTGAACTATACTTATGGAACTCAGGGTATGGACCTTTTTAACCTCTCCGTAATTTGGTAAAGATGTATGAAGTGTACTTCTCCATCTTATGTGCTCGGCTGCTAGCTAAAGCAGAGATGTCATTGTTCTTATATTAAGTAAATTTTTCCTTCAATAGTTATATGTCATACTCATGAGTTCCTTTTTACAATGCTCCACATCTCCTACATTATTATAGTCACAACAAATATCTGACTTTATCAGCAAAAGTAAATCATCTTATCATGTGGTGTAAATACATCTTAATTCAGTTGGAGACATCTTTAGGCAGTTTTCTCAAATTGTTAGATTATGCCTAGCTGCATATCAAAGGAGGTTCAAGGTTTCCCTGTGAACAAAGTTGTGTGTTAGATTTTCTTGCAGTATCTTGTTGGGCCTAAAATGAAGACTTGTAAATGACTCATGTTGCATAAATGACATCACTAAGATATTTTTGTGCATGAAACCCATTTATTATTACTGCAGAATGACAGCTGCAAAACATTGGTATGATTATTATTCAGCAGAAAGATGTTCTGGAATTTGGATGATGTTATAAATATACAGATGTAGTGAACTATTAGTATCACATTATATAGTGTTGCACCTCATCAGATGAATATTAACATAAAAAGTGACCTTACTTTAAGGTGAAACAATAGGTGCAAAATTTAAGATGGTATCAGTGAGGAAGGTCACGTACTTGAATGTCCACGACATGCACTTATTTTTCTTTTCCATTTAATTCAAATGGCATGCTTTGGGCTTGAGTCATTATTGCTGTGGTAGCTCTTTATCTTGAAAACCCACTTATCATTTAAAATCCATCTGTTTGCTCATTTAGCAAGTGACCAACAACTAGTCTTCTGTAATCAATTTGATGGATAAATTACCATTGGCATGCATCCATTGAAGTACACTTGTTACTCTGTTTCCAAGAGTACAAGTGTTTTACAACAGTGTTCAAAGAGAGATTTTAATGGTGGCCTTGACTTGTTGACTTTGTATTGAAGGATCCCTTTGAGAAAGATTTCAACAGTATGTGATCTATCCAAATAGGTCCACTTCAGATTTGGCTATGATTTGTGCTGGTATGTGACTCGCTTCCTGCCTTCATAGGTTGGGTTCTCCTCTATGTGGGGAAATTCCCTGCTTGGAGTACAATTATTATGGTATTCTAGTTGTCCAGCATGTTACCAAGTCATTTTCCATCCCAAAGAGCAATTGGTAGATGCTTTCATATTGTTTCCAGCTTGGCTAGTGGCATGAGCTCTATTCATGATGATTATAGTAGAACAAGCAAACTTGCATGCCAGCCAGCCATCACCACTACAAGAATAGCACAAACTTCAGATGGTTTCAGGCACTGACAGTGACAAAGTACATATTGTTAAGAGTTGCTGTCATCTGGTTTTATAATAATTACAATATAAGAAATAAGGTAGCATACAAGTTATTACACATTTCCAACAGATAGCATTTCTGTACTTCCCAATTGACAAAGCCAATGCATTTTGAACTTGGGACTTGACAATATTTATTTGTTAAGTTTGTTTCGACTGCATCGCATTATGATGAGAGGCTTTTGATGTTTATTTCATGCTGCAATCCACTCTATGATTCACTTGATACTAGTTTTTGAATTGCAAGATTCGTCATGTGAGATTGACCGACATTATCCAAATCGTAGATTGACCGAAGTTTGCGTTGGCCCCAATTGGCCGTGTTACATGTTTTTAATGCGTTGTTGAAACTATTCTCATATACTTTGTGTCTTTTTGTGCAGGTCACTGCATGTACACGATGTAACTCGAGGAAGGGGCTGAAAACCTTAGAAGCAAATAATGAAGTTGGTTAAAGTTTAAAGAGTAGAAATGAAACTATTTTTACTTGCGGAATAGCTATGACCATACTTGTGGATCCTTTCCTTGGCCACTGGTGGATCAGAAATGTGCTCTTCAATCACTATTGCAGGATGCCCTTGACATCAGCTGCTACAAAGTTGCTGAAGATGAGAAAAGGAGTGCTACAGATTGAACGGTGGCTCCGGTACCTTTCAAAGACAAGTCCATGGTCATGCCATTAGTAACTCACATTGCTTGACTGGTTGCCTTTTAAGGCCTTTGAATTATATCCTCACCCCACCATGTATTTTCATGAAAAGATTACCAAAAATCTTTTGGTGTCATGACAAATCCTGTACATAATATCCCAAACATGATAATCCACAGTATTTTGTTTGTTGGCTCTAAGTACAAGGAACAAGCTCTTTTTCACTGTTCAGATTCAATCATTGTTAGTATTGGTTGGATTCTGTCAGATGCTTTTTCACTTCTTTATAATGTATGAATGTGTGGGATCAAAAATCTTATTGTTGCCTCTGGTAATTTCTTATTCTTGGTTGCTTGAGCAGATGTCCAAGTTATCAAAGGACAACACAATGAAAATGAGGTGAAACAAGCTAATTATCACTACAACAAGGCCAAAAACCTGCTCCTTGTTGGCTACCCACATGATGCTGAGATAAGCTTGAGAGAGGGAGCAAAGACAGCTGTGCTCAGTTGGAAGTGATGGGATTCTCCATTTGTGGAGCCTCTGAAAGTAAAACAACAACAAAGCTTTCAAACTTGAGTTATTGCAGCAACTCAGAGAGGGTCCCAAAAGTCTCTCCTTCCTCAATTCATATTCATACAAGTTAAGCAAAGCCAGAATCTATGTTGTCATATCTTGAAAGATAAAAAAAAAACTTTAGATTAAGTGCTTAATAAGTTAATTATTCAATTATTTTCATCAGATGATGTTGTAATAAAATTTTCTTTTGGAAAGCTCATGATGAGGCTATAAGATATATCATGACTTAGAGCCACAATTAAATTTGTTTATATGTGCATCATGTCAAATATTAAATAAAAAATTATAATATCTAGTTTAATCTCAAATAAAAAAATATAAATAACGTAGATGAACTTATAAGAGATAAATGAGTCTATTACGGTCATCATGATCTCAAACAGTTTAGGTTGATGATTGAAACGCAAAGTTATTGAATTAGTTATCTTATCGGATCGGATCGTGGGATGTATTACTTTATGCATCGAGATATTTATCGAAACACATTGATCTTACCGATATTTGAGACCTTGACTCTAAATTCGATTAATCTGATCAGTAGTAGTTGAAACCATAATCCCAATATCATTGAAGTGAACTATAGTGAAAGATTGCTACACATTGATCCTGTGGTCAAGATCTTGTGATTATTAATGTGTGGGGTTACGTCTAAGCATCTAAACACCCACCCACCCCATTTACCACCATATAAAAGAAAGTCTTGCGGTGAGACTTTGGATCCACAGGGGAATAAGATATAAGATGGTGGACATATCGATCACTCACTCTCATGGTTCAAATTTTGAAAGGGTGGAGAGGGATGCATGTCCTGTTACGAAGTGGAGGGAGACTGCTTCGGGGGTGTGTGTGTGTGTGTGTGTGTGTTGTGTGAAAGAGACCGTCGGTGTGTAGCTTTGGTTGCATCATTCGGTCTCTGCCGACAAAACAACAAGGAGATAAAGAGGAGGAGCAAAGAGGGCGGCAGCTGTTGCTTGTCCCTCCCTCAGAGCAATCTATCTATGCATCTTTAAAGATCACCACCTCACTTGGTCTCCTCCTCTTCCTCTTCTTCTTTCCCTCCTCTTTTTGGTTCCTTAAACCTCCCACTGCTTCCTGTTTTGGTGGGCTGCACAGTATATAATGGACGCCTCCAAGAATTCCTCCTCTGCTGCCACTTCTTTGTTGGGGGACTTCACTCCAGGGGTGAGCTCAGCTGTTCTTTCGTGTGTATAGTGGAAAGATGATCAGAGGTTTTTGCTACAATTTTCAGTTCTTCGCCGAGTCCTCTTCATCTATTGTTTGTGTTCTTGAATGAGATCAAGAAAATAATATTTTCGAGTTCTGAAAAGCTTCTGCTCTCTTCGTTTTGTTCTCAAGGTTCTCCTTGTACTCGCCATCCATCTTCCTTCAAACTGACACTGGAATTGCTCGTCTTGTTCTCGATGTTGTCGCATGCAGGAAGGAGGAGAGGATGGAAGCCTGGAATGGCTGTCCATATATGTGGAGGACTGCCTCTCGAGCGCTGCCACATCCTACACCACTTTTGACCCACTTCCAGCTTCAGCACCCCCGCAAACCCCAAATCCCAAGCCTGCCTTCAAAAGCCTCGCAGTCCAAGCCAAGGCCAGGACCAAAAGAAGAAGAAGAATCACCCCCGGAAACCTCTCCATCGACACCTTCTCAACCTTCCATCTCACTTCCTCAGACCCACCCCTCCTCCACCAGGCCCACTGGCTTGCAGAAAGTGAGCTCATCCTCCCTAAAAAGGAGGAAGAGGATAAGACACCAACACCAGCTCTGGGTGGTGGTGGTGGTGGTGGAGGAGGAGGTGGTGGTGGTGGAGGAGAGGAGAAGTTGGGAAAGGAGGGAGTGCATCCAAGGAGGTGCACTCACTGCCTGTCACAAAAGACACCACAGTGGCGGGCAGGGCCATTGGGACCCAAAACCCTCTGCAATGCATGTGGTGTGAGATTCAAGTCAGGGAGACTGCTCCCCGAGTACAGGCCAGCAAAGAGCCCTACTTTTGTGAGCTACAAGCACTCCAACTCACACAAGAAGGTGATGATGATGAGGACGGCTTTACTGTCTTCCAATCCCAATTGAGGTTATCATTGGTTTTTACATGGTGGGAAAAGAAAAGGATTGGTGGTCATATGCCAACTTATATTGTAAATCTTTATGTTTTGCTCTCTGAAACCCCTCCTTTTTGTTAAGCCTATATATATGATGGTTTGAGTGTAGCCATCACTGTCCTTTGAGCATATTGTGTCAATGTTGCAAGCTACTACTCTTTCAAGTTCTCCAGCACGCCTTGTCATATTCTAATCATGTAAGTTGGAGAATGTAATGGAAGTGCTTGGATAGATTAATGAGAGTATCAGCAAGAACATTTCCTGTGAGAACAATAATTTGAGGGTTACACTTACTGTATTTGATTATGATTGGAATAAGAAAAGCAAGTATGGAATGTAAATGGCAGGTGAAGTTTGGAATAGTATCGCACTATTCAATAGCTGATAGAAATAAACTTTCCAATATTGTATATATATATATATATATATATATATATATATATAATCTCCTATGGTTTATCTTCATCAGAATAATGTTAAAAGTCAAATTGAAATTAACACCATCTAAAAAATATAGAAAAATCATGAGAAATGAAATAATTGATGAAAATAATTTTTTAAAGGCATATAGGTATTTAAATGTTTAGTATTTTAAAATCTAATGATAACCATGGTTATTAATAATAAACCTGAGTTTATTGAACAAGTGTCAATGAGGATGACATATACAAAAGAAATATTTGAAAATATCTATGTGAAAAATCAAAAAAACCAATATTGGAATTTAGATACATGTAAGAAACCCTCTTAAAGAATTTATACATTTAGTAGTGTTTTCCCCAAAGAAAGAAACTGTATTGCTTGATTATTCCATAAGCATTTACATATTTAGTACTACTTTAGATATTTAGTAGCTCTAAGAGAGACTGTTTACACTATTAAGGAATGTACTGTCGACCCCATCTTCGTACATCCAACACACCGAAACAAACATTCCCTCATCAAACAATGATAATAAAGAAAATATGCCTTATGACTTGAGACATTTGTCAAGGAGTAAATATAATCTCTCGAAGAAACATTTGTCACCCCCAAAAAACAAAAAATAATAAAAAAGGAGCAGAGAAAACCTCCACTTGATTTCTGACAATCCTCGTTCACCACAAAAAGATCATGTAAATGGGTGCACAGAAGAGTTAGCTTTGATACTTGAACTGAAAGAAAAAGATCATCTTATTTTCCATAACTTCAGTAGTAAGAGCAGACAAATTTTCCGTGAAAGGCTGCTTTGATCTTCACAAATAATCACCTGGAACCAACGAACATATGGACGACTTGAAAGATACTTTTAATGAAGATCAACTCAGATTTTCAAGTGCTACAGAAGAAAGACAGAAAACACCAGAAAAGTCTGCCACCATGATATTCCAAGCCAAGACTAAGTAAAGAGATTCTTGCAAAAGCAAAGAAAAGCAGAAATACACCATTGAGAACACAAATAACAGGTTGATTGCCTCATAACACCTATGAACCCCAATCACCAATCTCCTACCTTAAGGGACAGCTAGAAAAAAGGAAAAACAAACTCAAATCGATATTAAACTGCGACAGGGAAACTACTGCTTTGCTACAAACCTTAAGCATACATGTCAGCCCGATGCCTCGCAGACAATTTCCATTATGTTCTTTCTTAGCCTTCCTAAGCAGTTCATGCTCAGCCAGCCAATAACTGCAGCTGCTCAAAGATGGGTCCATTAACCTAGCAGCAGTTGGCAACACCATTAGCCACAACCCACTTCTCAGTCACTGGTTTAGCATCCTTTGGAGCAACACCAGCTACTGCAGCTAAGCCATTCTTTTCTGATAGCACATGTTCACCAAGTGCAAGCCCAACCTGGGCAGATTCTTTCTTCAAAACTGTAACCACTTCCAGTGGCTTTTGCAACCCAGGCTTCCCATTCGAAGCATCCTTGTCTTTCTCGCCAAATTCCACCATTTTTCCATCCATGAACTGAAATAAAAATAATAATGAGCACGGATAAGGGTAACTTGATCATTAAAAAAAACAAGAATAACCAAGTAGTTCAGAAGAGCCATTCAGTGTCCTAGCACTTCTACCAAACAAATTGGAGCATAATTAATAGGAATTGAGGCAGGATTGCAAACATTTAATTATTACTGTGATCAAATTTGAACATTGTGAAATGGATATATCTAAGAACAGTATATGTCACGGCATTATTATGCCTTGTAACATGCAAAAGAACCACAGTATAACATAACTCTGAAGATGTAGAATCTGAACATGCCTTTTTCTGAAGCTGCTGTTGCTTGGTTCTCTTTTCTTGCATCACCTTCTGACGGGTTTCATAGAAATCAAAATCATCCAAAATGCATGTCTTGCTCGCATGCTCCTTGAACAGCTTAAGCAGTTGAAGACCTTGGTCAAGCTTCACCTGAAGTAATAAGCATATATTGAAATGATTAAAATTGACGTTCCAAATAGTTAACAGTGAAAAGTTCCCTCACCTCCTGAGTGTCTCTACTGTTTGTCACCGGTTTGTTGTCATTATTCTCCAACGTTATATGCTTTAGAATGTTATTGGGTACATCCTTTACAATATGCCACTTGACAGGAAAATAACCAACCCACTTATCCTGCTGCCAGTAATCCAACGTTTTGTTAAAATCAACTGGACCTACCATTTCGGCAACACCAACAAACTGTCCACTTGTGTTGACCTATAAATTAACATAAAAAATCAGAAAACCCATAAAATAACATTAAAGGAAAGCGGATGTTAAGATTATAAACTAATACTTACAGAGAAAAACAGGAAGACTGGGCATCCACTTGTCTTCTCCTTAGATTCCTGATAAGCAGCATCAAGCTTCTTGTTCCCATGAGGAGTGCTAGCCCAGACATTATATTTGATACTCTTGTGAATATCATCCTCACTGTATGATTTAATGATGAAAAACTTAGCCTCCGAGTATGTTTCAGGGAAGTCTGACTTATTGTATTGATCTCTTTCAGGAATCACAGCAGAATCCTGAATATTTACATTTGCAGGAAGGCTCTGTCCCCTCACTGCAAGAGTAATAGTAGGTCCAAACCCCTTCTGGTTTCTGAATCGACCAGACCTTGGTCCTTTATTGAGCTCACTCAGCCCATCCAAGTTCTCGTTACCATAACCATAGAATCCATTGCTCCGGCCCCTCGGCTTATACTTGCTATCCACAGACATCCCCCATCTTCCATTCATTCTGGAGTCATACATGCTTGAGTAAAAACTCTGACCACTTCTGAAACCATTTGCATGTTGACCATACATTCGATGGTTAGGATACATCTTGTTCACCATTCCAGCACCTGCTGGTCTTGGGGCATGCATTCCCTGGCAAAAAAAAGTAAGTGTATGACGGTAAAACAGTGTCCAGCAAGAAAGCCAGACCAGAGAACTAGAAGAGTTATTCCAACCAGACGTTCATAAAGAGTGTAAAGGTTCAGTAATAGCTCCCTGCTCTCGGCAAGCAAGTTTGTAATTTCTATGTTTAGGTTGTTACATAAAGCATGCATAAAGTCATTAACATGTATCCTCGCACATAAGGTGTTACCTCAGCAAAATGTACCAATATTTCAATTGACAGAGAAGACAGTATTAACTCTTAATTAACAACAATGAGATCAATAAACAGGTAAGACAATGTTAACTCTTAATTTGGATCCCACATACCATGAGCTGAGGAAGGGGGCGAAGGTTCTGATTTCTTGTAGAAGAGACAGTATTAGCTGTTGTTGGTCTCTGTTGTCCATCAGGAAACATCAGGCTATCATACCACGGAACAGGCGACCACATACCATCAAAACCAAATCTTGGATCCTGATAGCCGGAAGAAGGATGCCCACCAGGAAACGCACCTTTACCAAGTGAGCCATTTGAATTCAACGATGAGTTCTGTTGGCTTGGTTTTAGTTTTGCTGATCCATTGTTGCCATTTGTGCTTGCCTTAACTGTTTCATTTGAATCAGATTTTGTTGTATCCACTGGAATAGATGGGAGGCTGGCAGCAGTAGATGTAGAAACCTCCCTTTTAGAACTAGGGGTTTGGCTTGTAGTGTCTGGTGCACTGGTGGCTGTGGGTGGCTGGTAATATGTAGCTGGAAACTGGTAATGTTGGGGTCCATATAACTGACCATTGTGCCCCAATGTCGGAACTGGGGAACCAGGAGAAGGATATGGACCATATGGAGCATAACCATATCCATGATGATACATGTCCCCATAAACTCCCTGCCAAAGATAATGGAATGCTATCAAAACCTTTCTCTTATGAACACACAAATCTCAAACAGAAGGCTGAGACTTGCAAAGCAACTTATAAAGATCAAGTTTACAATTAATCCAACAGATGATAATCATTGAAGAACAGCAAGTAGAGTCAACACATCTTACAGGTGGAGGCACCTCCACTCCATCAGAGTTAACATATCTAGGGTAATCCTCCCACTCCGCCATTGATCCATCATAACCTGAAAACTTTCAATTGTAATTAGGTGACTCCTCTATAAGAAACTAAAAATCTTGGGCAGCTAAACAATTACCATGGCTAAAACAAAATCACTGAAACATCCACAAGAAGAGTCATGAAGAAACAAACATGCATCAATCAGGTGTATTTACAGCACGTTACATGCAACGAGCAAAATTTTTGACTAAAAAGATGATGTGGAATCACAAATAACTCGATAATTCTTGAAACCACATACAACGAGAAGCTGGAATCAATTTACCTCCATAGTAGAAAGATGGAGTGTATCCGTTGGGTACGTAACACATGCCCGCATCCATATGCTCCTGAAGAAGAGGCGTCAGAGATCGTTCATATGTTGGGATCGACGCAATTGGTGCTTCCCCACCATTTGCTGAACCATACTGAACTCCAGAAGGCTGTTGGATGAATTCAAAGTGCATTAGTACTAGCTCTTTCCCAATTAAGAACCTACATACACAACATGATGTACAACAAATAATTGGCAGAATCAATAAAGCTACCTTCTTTTTGACCTCTGAGGAATCATTACTCTTGTTAGCAGTATCCAACGACAGTTTCTGTATCAGATCTGTAGCCTCTGTGACATATTAATGAAGGAATAACAGTATTTACTGAAAACTTCAGTATAACCTAATAGGACATAACCCAAAGCATAACAGCAACAAAGTCTTAAGAACCCCCTGAAAAATCTCCGGATCGCGTGAGTAAAACTCTGCATAGTTTGAAATCAACTTAAATTA